GAATATTTCTACATCTTCTACTAAAAACCAATCAAATAACCTTGAAAAGTCTGTGTCCAGAAAGAATTGTATTTTTCCTGACAAACTGTCATGCTTCCTTTATTCCAACATATGGAAAATGCAATCAAATGTTTATTAAATTTCGCCTTGGCTGCCCTGAAGATTATCTAAATTTGTTTATCAAAAACAATAACGAACCCATCTCTCACGCTTGATACATATTTTCTCTTTCATTTTCAAGCTGTAATTTTTCACATGTTTTTAATTATGCCACAGTGAAAGTTACCTTAAATATGTTTTGAAAGTAGGTAGAATTAGTACCCTAAGGCTCCTATAGTTACCCCGTGTTCAATTATAAAACAAAAAAACACATTGGCCTAGAGCTGCATTTATCAAACAAGAATATGCATAGGAATCACCTATGATCTAATTGAAATGCAGATTCTGACTTAGGAGGTCTGGGGTGGAGAGGGAGATGCCACATTTTTGACAAGTTCCCAGAGAAAGTTGGTCTTGATGGTCCTCGGCCCACACTTTGAGTTGGCAGGGCCTGCACAGTGGCATTCTGCCCACGCATGATAGAAAGTCATACAGGAGGATAATGAATATGCTCTAACCCTAAAAAATTATGAATCTCCAAATAATGTCACAAGTCAGAGCAAATGGGATAGCCAGAGTTCAGTTTCAATCTTTAAAAATCAAGAAGCCTTAGATCTGATAGCAAAATAAATTTAAGTTGTAATAACAAATATCCAGTTCACGGTTTTCAAAGTTGATTCTGATTCATTTGTTAGACATTCTACCATATACATCTGCATAAAGTTCTGGCTGCTATATTTTTAACATTTTTACGATTTTGAATATTTTGGGGGGAGACAGGACAAGAAAAGAATACTCACTAAAATTTTGGAAAGAGAAAGCTTCCACTTATTCAAACATTTACTAAACACCTACTACACTCCAAGAACTACTTTAAGACTGTGAAACAAAACTGGCCTTTTCTTTTTGTTTATGCTTTTTAAAATTCTTCTTTTTTGATTATCTTTGGAGACAGTTATGATGTAGCTTGGAGAATTCTCATTTAGCTAGTGAATAAGTGAATGCATGTGTATCATTCATCAACCGTGATATGGACTAAGAAAATATCTGAACATCAGTTAGTTTAACTTTTCTTTCTTTCCAGTTTATTTCCAGTTAAGAGTATTCCTTCTCCTGGTCTGGCATGTTATATAATGATAGTTTCTGAAACACCTCACAGTGAAGGAAAGACCTAGTTTTCCCAATGCTGTTCAGTCTTATAGAGTCTCGTATTGCCCACTGTTACACGTACGTACATGTGTTTCCTCTCCTCAAGAGAGTTTCACAGACGAAGTAGAAAAAAAAAACTCTACTTCAGTTAAAGTTAAAATTAACCAGTTATCTAAATATACATAAAGGACTAGCTGAGCCACTGCATTAATTCCACATAAGTACAAAAACGTTAAGTTTTTTCTAGGTCAAAGGCTTTGAGGCCAAGTACATTAGTTTTCTATTACTGGGGTAACCAATGACTGTAAATTTAGTGACTGAAACTACACAGATGTACTATTATACAATTCTAGAGGTCAGAAGTTCAAAACAGGCTAAAATCAGACTGTTAGCAGGGCTGTGTGCCTTCTGAGCACTCTAAGGGGAAACACCCATTTCCTTGCTCTCTCCAGCTTCTAGCAACCTCCCACATTCCTTGGCTCATGGCCTCCACCTCCATCATGAAGTCAGCATTGTTGCATCTTTCTGTGGCTCTCTTTCATAGTCATATCTTCCTCCAGTTGCCTCTTCTCTTCTGTTTTCCTCTTGTGCTTTTAAGAACTCTTGAGATTACATTGAGCCCAACCAAATAAACCATAATAATCTCCCTATTTTAAAGTTAGTTGATTAGCAACCTTAATTCCACCTGCAACCTTAATTCCCCTTTGACGTGTAACCTAACATATTCGTAGGTTCCAGGTCTTAGGATGAGGACATCTTTAGAGAACCATTATTCTGCCTATCATACCAACTCAGTGTTTCTTTTCCATTTTCTAAATTGAATTTTCCAAAAGCACTTGAGGTCTCCTACAATTTTTCAATGCTATGAAAAGAAGCAGTTGGGGAAAAACAGTTTAAGACTACTGGGAGCACAGTCGCATTTCAGCTTTTGACTATGAGCTCTGAATTTATTGGAATAACTCTCATACCCAAGAGAGATATGAATACAGTTGGAATGACCACTACCACATAACCATCTGCTCCTGGATATGTGTGGCCTGAGACTTCTGACTCACATCCTGGTAAACTGATGCCACAGAACGTGGAATCCAACTGAGACCATCCGGATAAATGACCTGAGTCTCTGAAATCCAAGTTTGCTTAGAAAAATGGCCCTTCATTAAAATTTTGAGAAGTTAAACTCTCCTCCAAAATTGCTCCCAAAAAAACCCCCTTAGAATCATTAAAATTGTACAAGTAAAAAAGTTTACTTTTTTAACATAAAAAAATGAAAAGTTAAATGGCTAAATTATAGTAGCCTAATCTTTTCATGCCATTACTGAGGATTGACAGGTTGATTGTTTTAACAGCTGTACAATGCTTAAGGTCTATGGATTCTAAATCTGTAATAATAAAAAGAATAACACTTTGCATGAATGTTTTAGGAATATGTTTTAGACATACTTTCTCACAGGACTCTTGGTTAAAGACAATTATTATATTTCAATCAGGAGCCACGGAGCAAAAAATTAGAACGATTGGCTAAAGGCCCAATGCAATATGAATCTAAATATGAAACAAAGTAAATGTTTTAAAATTGAATCTCAGTCTAAATTCTGGGATAGAAAATGAAGCATATTATGGTGATCAGTATTATTTAAAATAGGCATGTCCAATCATCCAGTGCTGAAATATAAACTGTATGACAGAATATTAAACTGACTCCACTACAGTTTCATGTCACACAAAGGTTATGAGAGATATATTGTTTCTTGTGAGCCTTTTTTTTTTTTTTGACACACAGTAAGCAGTGCCAATATGAGAAACAGGCATCTCTCTTGGGTTAGCCAATACCCTCAATTTCTACCTTTTTCACCTGCTGACCCCTCCCCCGCTCCCCAAATACAGCATCTCTGCAAGGGGATGCTGAGGGCAGTTTATAGTACCTATGGCTCCGGTACATCTCTGTACGTGTTTTAGTTTGGTACCTCTTTTTGGCAATACTCAAATGGGTCAGCTCTAAGTGAGATCTGACTTAGGAATGGGATAAAGCAGTGACCCAAAAGAAGTTTTGCACATATAGCACCTAAAAGAATTCTGAAAATCTATATGCATATTTTTAAACAACATCTAAACATCTTTAACATAATAAGTTTAAACACTTGAAAAAGGCGCGTGTTTTCTGGCATGTATATAGTAAACATGCTTTTTATACTTATCAGAACCTCAGGGCTGCAACTTTAGCTCATTCAATCTATGGAAAATGTCTGCTATATACATAATTGACAAAGACAATCCTCATTGACAAGCCAATCAACCCAATAAAATTTTCTGTCAAAACAATTCCAACTTCATTTTTCAATCAAATATGAAGATAGTGCTGGTGACAGCCATCTACCTCGTGAATGTTAAATGGAACTGACAGAAAAACAGAGCACAGATCCTTGTCACGTGCTCCTCCTTGGAGAGGAAGAAAGGCGAACAGGTAGGCATCATGCATGTTCAGAGGCAGATTAGTTTCAAGAAAGAGTTGGAAGTTGAAGACCTGAAATTTGAAACCCTTGCAACACGCTACGCCTTGGGAATTCTTGTGGGCCTATGGGTATGTATACAGTTTGGAAACCGCTGGGAAAAAGAATTTAAATTTTTCTCTGAAATATCTTATACAGTATAATGCAAATATAAGGTGTTATTTTTAACCAAAAGCCTCTGACTGTATTTTTTTTTTTTTTTTGAGGTAGCCTAAAACTCTGGAAATATCTTAAAATAGGTATCCAGTTCTCTTCGAGGGTCAACAAAATAGATTATAATCTTGCTGGTGTAATCAACCGTGTGAATAATCTTGGACCAACAGTTCTGGAGTCCCAGGAAGTGGTTCTACATTTTCTCTGAGTTCTTTATAACTTCAGTGCTATTGTTCTAACTCTCTTCCCGATAATCTATTAGTGTGTGGGTGTGACCCGTGTTAGTCACTTTTACCCTGAGATTCATAGATCTATCTCATGTCATTATTGGGTTTTATGCATGTTCTGACTTTCTGTGGGTACCCTTTTAGTGCCAGAAGTAGAAAAACTTTAAAATAATAATAAGCTGTACTTGTCAAGACTATCATATTGTGCCAAGAGAGGAGCTGCTTATGCAAACTATTGCCAAATTTTACATGGGAAGCCAGACAGGAGTGCACAGTCACAGTGAAATTGCATTTTGAAAATCTCTCTCTCCTAATGTTTCTGGGGAAATGGCTAGAAGTAAATTACTGAAAATGGGAGGAAAAAAATAGATGCAAAGACAACTTTATTAGGTGTTTTCTCTTCCTCGTGAGGAGGATTTGGGTCCTTCCAGGTGAAGCTCCAAATTACTAAACAATACCCAGTTTCCTTCCGTTGTAGCAAGTTTATCCCACGGTGGGTGCTCTAGAAAGCACCTTGAGGGCGAATGGGTCTCGGGCCATTCAGGATCAAGGTCGTCCGATGTTTTGTTAGTTGAAGAATCTTCCCGCGACACCTCTTAGAAGCAGTTCTGCGTGCCCCTCCAAATAGCCCACCTCCTGGCTGCGCCACACCTCCATTTGTCCCCCAGTTACCAGGTAACGGTGGGTGGTTCAGAAGGTGCCGCAGCAGGGGCAGCCAGGCCTTTACACGCAATCACTGGGGAAGAGGCGAGCACAGGGGTGGGTGCTGGAGGCGCGCACGCGCGCAGGTGCTCGCGCACCCACAAACACACACAGGCACGGGGTGCGGGGCGGACAGGGAGAGGGGAGGGGACGGCCTTACCAGATCAATGAACGTCAGGAATTTCCAGCTCCCTCCGTAGGTCTTATGCGAGGGCATTTCGATGGCCTTGTAGTTGCAGAGGATGGAGCAGTAGGACAGCAGGATCGCCACCCGCAGCACCTGGCAGGGGACAAGCGCCATGTTCGCGAGAGGCCTGGGAGGGCTGGACCGCGCGGAGGGCGGGCGG